GGGGGTGGAGGGCGCGCCCCCGCCTGGCCTGTGGCTGCCTCTTCCTGGCTCCGGCTCCTTTGGCCCCGACGGCTCCGACCCTGTTCCCTTCTTCCTCCTCCCTTTGTACTTTGGCCCCGGGGGCGGGAGGCAGAGGTGGAGGGTGGAGTTTCACTTTTTTTCCGCTCTTCTCCCTCCTGCAGGAAACAGCATCAGATGACGCGGGCGGGTTGCACCGCTCCCCTCCCGGAGGCTCCGGGCAGGGAGTTCCCGGGTAGGCGGGCCAGGGGAGGCAGAAGGAGAGTAGTATGGGACCCACCGCCCTATTACAACGCGCTTTAGGATCTAAGAACAGCCTCAATTAGGGGGTGCTCCGCTGCCCACGGACCATCATTGCCCTCTGCATCCGCATCCGCAAAAAGGGCTCACAGAACAGCTCTTGGGGAGGAGCAAACCTGAGTGGTCTTGGCGATGAAGTTGAGACTCTGATCCATCCTCTCTGACCTTCAGTCTTTTCATAAATGAAACGGGGCAAGAAGCTCTCTGCTTTGCAGTCAGTGGGGTGGGTGTGGGGAAGACTGGAGAACAGACAAACTGACTCAAGCCATCTCATATTCTTGGAACGGGTTGTCTAAGACTCACTTCTTCCCCTCACCTGGGAAAGAATCCGCTTCTTCATGGCCTTTCTCCAGTAGGCTAAACCTGAGACTTTTGTCCAAAACTCTGCCTAGGATTGGATTCAGAATAGCTAAGTCGCCCTCAACTTCAGGATCGGGTTGACCCCAATTGCCTTGAGCCTGTCACTTTAAGAAAAACGACGCTATCCTTTTTCGACTATTCCTGCCTATTCCGGAGGGTTGTTCTCTACTTACTCGGTCTGAGCTCTGACCCGGAAGTAGAGGCAGCCCGGGGCGAGAGACTCTCCTGCCGGTAGAGGGTCTTTACGAAGTTCTCTACTTACTCGGTCTGAGCTCTGACCCGGAAGTAGAGGCAGCCCGGGGCGAGAGACTCTCCTGACGTTAGAGGTTCTTCACGAAAAGGGGAGGGCCAAGCGGGCGTGCTCCGGTTGTGCAGAACTCTGGCTGCACTCCTGGGGAGTCACGCCTCCATTTTTTTCCCCCGCCTCCTGAAACTCATTGGATGAGCTTTACGCCAACTACTATGCCGCTACCCAATGTCTATTCAATTATCCCTTTCGTTCCACCCAATGGTGTCTATCCTGGCAACGCCTGGGTTTACGCATGCGCCGAAACTCTCCTACTTTTTGGATTCTCAGATCCGGACTCTGCGCAAGCCTAAAGGGCACTCCTGCGTCTCTTCGTTCCTCCACCTCTCGGCGCTTGCGCATTCATGCCGTCAGGTTTTCCTTTTCCGGGTCCCAACTTGATCCGTTGGGCGCATGCGCTACTGCAGGCTGGCTGCTCGCGGCTTCTTCTTCCGGCCTCCCCTTTGGGCCGGCACCGGTAGAAGCGGGGCGAGCGCGAAGCCCCAAGCTAGTGATCTGCGACCCCGGAAGTGGGCCTCAAGGTCCTGGGTCTCTCCCTGTTCCAGAGCCAAGGGAACCGTCGTCTGCATCCTGGGAGCACCCACCCCACGCCCACCTCTGGATGCCGCCGACTGGTGCCCGGCCCGTGCCCCGCGCCTGCCTGCCCTCTCTGCCCCTTGAAACAGTTTTGAGCCAGGGGTGGGGGTCCAGATCCTGTCCCTGATGCGGCTCCAACCCCGCTTCTGGGTCTCGCACCGCTGACTGCCCCGGCCGACCCCGCCCCCTGCCCACATCCTCGCCCCGCCGACCCCCACCTCCCCCCTTGGGGGGGCCATGCGTGAGCGGGAGGTCGGGCCCCCGGGGCCCTCGGGCACCAGGCGGGGCATGGGCCGGGGACCGCCCCCATGAGGGTCCCGGGAGGGGGGCGCGCGCAGCAGCGGCGGGGCCATGGGGTCGCAGGTGTTGCAGATCCTGCGCCAGGGGGTGTGGGGGGCCTCGCTTACCGGCGGTTGGTTCTTCGATCCGCACCAGAGCACCTTCTCCAACTGCTTCCATCTTTATGTCTGGATCTTCCTGCTCACCTTTCCCTTCTTGCTGTACATGGTGAGGCACTGGCCACCACCTGTAACTCCTGGGAAAGGGAGGGCGGTATGTCATGAAGGACTGGCAGCCTGTCAGGAATTTGGGGCTATGCTAGGGCACTGGAGTGTGCATGGAGAGCAATTGCTGCAGAGTTTGGACCTGTGTGTGGAGGAGAGAACAAATTCTTCCTTTCTTGGATCGGGTGCTGTAGAGCCCTTAATCTCTGTCCAGTTGGGCTTAAGATGGTCCTGTGATACAGCCTTTGTCCTGGTTGCAGGGAGACATGTTGAAGTCATTTTGTGGATCTATTATTCCTAGCCATGCATGGTGGCAGAAACACCACATTCGGGCAGGGCTTTGTGAGAAAGGACCTGACTTGCTTCCATTTCCAGGTCCTGCCCCCCAGCTTGATGGTGGCTGGTGTGTACTGCCTTGTGGTGGCTGTCATCTTTGCTACCATCAAGACTGTGAACTATCGGTTGCATGCCATGTTCGACCAGGGCGAGATTGTGGAGAAGCGCAACTCTACCATGGGAGAGCCAGAGGAAGAGCCTGCCCAGGGAGACAGCAATCCACCCAGGTGGGAGGGGCAGGGGCTGTGTTTTGGGGTTTGAGGGTTCTTAGAGCCTGGGCCTGAGCCTTGGAGGGTGGATTAGAGGCTCCAGGAACATTGGCTTTCTTAGTGAATGTGAGCGTATGTGCTAACGTCAGTCCTGGAGTTGTAAAGGGATCATCACTCTTCAACCGCTGATCCTCCCCAGGGTCCGGCCAGGCCAGGCCAAAGTCTGGACCCTGGTGAGGACCAGCAGTGAGGAGTAATGAAGGTGTTGAGTAGTGTATGTATAGAGGGAAATTAGCTCAGAACTGCTGCTGTGCTTTTTCTCCACTCAAGGGACCCTGGAGTGGAGATGACAGTGTTTCGGAAAGTAAGTTCCACCCCTCCAGTACGTTGCAGTTCCCAGCATTCCGTGTTTGGCTTCAACCAGGTCTCGGTGAGTCGTCCCAGCTCTTAGCTCCTTCTGCTTATCTGGGAGTGGGTCTCCACTGTGGGTCTGCTCTGAGACTGAGTCTAGCCTGTTTGCTCCCTCATGTCTCTCTGTCTGCTCAGGAGCTACTGCCCCGGATGGAAGACTCTGGACCTCTCAGAGGTAGGTGGCTGCCGTTCAGAGCCGGGAGGTGGTATGGAACAGGGGAAGGCAGGCAGCCGCCCCAGGTCCTGCTGATGCCTCTGGGGCCATGGTTACAGACATCAAGGAGCTCGTGCGGGAGCAGGGCAGCAACAACGTGATAGTGACCTCAGCGGATAGAGAGATGCTGAAGCTCAGCTCGCAGGAGAAACTGAGTAAGTGGGCATGGTACGACAGAGTGGGGGAGACTAGCTCTCTTACCTTTGAGTCATCCCAACTTCTGTTCTATTCTGGGGCTCCCTCTGTGCTCCTGGCTGGGATCCTCTCTGAGTTCTGTCCTGGTTGGGCTTTTGGGAAAGCAGAGGTCATGATTCTTTTAGCTACTCATTTCTTTTGCAGGATATCCTTCTCTCATTCTCTGTCCTCTTTTTTTCTGGCAGTTGGAGATCTTCCCCAGACACCTCCAGGGGCTGCCCCAGACCCTTCTCTCCCCAGCACGGACTCTTCAGAGCGTTCTCCCCTGGCTGGAGACGGAGCTCCCTGGAGTGGGAGCAGTGTGGCTGACACTCCCATGAGCCCTTTACTGAAGGGGAGCCTCAGCCAAGAGCTGAGCAAAAGCTTCCTGACCCTGACTCGGCCTGACCGGGCCCTGGTGAGGACCAGCAGTCGACGGGAACAGCGCCGAGGAGCAGGCGGCTACCAGCCCCTGGACCGACGGGGCTCCGGCGAGCCCACACCCCAGAAAGCCGGTTCATCAGATTCCTGCTTCAGTGGCACTGACAGGGAAACACTGAGCAGCTTCAAGAGTGAGAAGACCAACTCGACCCACCTGGATAGCCCCCCTGGTGGACAGGCTCCTGAGGGTAGTGATACAGACCCGCCCTCTGAGACCGAGCTGCCTGCCTCGCCAGATGCTGGGGTCCCCTCAGATGACACACTGCGTTCCTTTGACACAGTCATTGGGGCAGGGACGCCACCGGGCCCGGCTGAGCCGCTCCTGGTTGTGCGGCCTAAGGACTTAGCCCTGCTGCGGCCCAGCAAACGGCGGCCACCTGTGCGAAGACACTCTCCACCTGGCCGTGCCCCTCGCCGGCCCCTGCTTGAGGGCGGAGGCTTTTTTGAGGATGAGGACACCAGTGAGGGCAGTGAACTGAGCCCGGCCTCCAGTCTCCGATCGCAGCGCCTCTACAGTACCGACAGCTCCTCTTCTACTTCCTGCTACTCCCCAGAGAGCTCCCGGGGTGCCGCAGGGGGGCCCCGGAAGAGGCGGGCCCCCCATGGGGCTGAGGAAGGAACTGCTGTGCCTCCCAAGCGGCCCTATGGGACCCAGCGGACGCCCAGTACTGCCAGCGCCAAAACACATGCACGTGTGCTGAGCATGGATGGGGCAGGGGGTGATGTCCTACGGGCTCCCCTAGCTGGCTCCAAGGCTGAGTTGGAGGCCCAGGTTGGGGTGGAGCTGGCTGCGGGTGAGCCTGCTGTCCTGCCTGCTGAGGCCCGTAGGGGACCTGCTGCCAACCAGCCGGGTTGGCGGGGGGAACTTCAGGAGGAAGGTGCTGTGGGGGGAGGTGAGTGTTGGTTCCAGGGGTGGGGATGGGGTGGTCAGCTGGGGGCTTGGGTTTGGGCAGAGGCAGGTGAGTGTGGGCCTGCAGCATGGGCTCAGCCTTTGCCTCAGGCGGTGAGTGGAGGTAGATTCAGTGTCTGGG